AACATCCGCCAGCTCCCTCCGCACTCGTGGGTGCATCCCATCGGGGCCCATGGATTTGTGGATGCCAAGTTTGGACAAAAGATCTCTATCCTGATCCTCCTCCACCAAGGGAGAGTCTTCCTTTCTCCAGCCTTCCTCTCTTGTCTCCAAGGTCTGGAATTCCTCAGGACTGGCCTTAGCAGTGAAGATGGAAGCAAAGGCAGCATTCAATAACTCTGCCTTCTCTGTATCCTTCATCACCAGGGCACTCGCCCCATTCAGCAGCGGGCCCACGTTTTCCCCAGTCTTCCTTTTGCTATTGATGTATTTGAAGAACCTCTTCTTGTTGTCCTTGACATCCCTTGCCAGATTTAATTCCAACTGGGCCTTAGCCTTCCTTGTCGCATCCCTGCACGCTCTGACAACGTCCCTGTATTCCTCCCAAGTGGCCTGTCCCCTTTTCCACATTCTGTACACTTCCTTCTTCTGCTGGAGTTTGGCCAGGAGTTCCTTGCTCATCCATGCAGGTCTCCTGCCTGCTTTGCTCGACTTCTTACTCAATAATCCTTGAGTCTTGAAACACTGAAGACATGCCCTCTGCCTTTCAGTCATCATGTTCATAGGAAGCAAGGAAGGAAACTGCGGCATATTTAAGAGGTTTGCTCCACCAATTTAATAATAGGATTTCTGACAGACTATGGCCATCTGGTCTCTAGTGTCTACTGACAGAAATATTGACCTCCACCATTTTGCAAAGGCATCACAGTGCAGCAAGCTGTGGATTTCATATATGTTCTGCCAGGCAGATGCGCTTGAAGCACATCTCTGGTAGACTACTCATTTCTGTATGCTGCATAATTGAGACTGAGCAAATTGAAGAGACAGAATATACAGATTTTCCTTTCTTGGGTACAAGACTTTGTATCTGGACAAGTTAAAGGATGGCTTCACAGAACAGGGACCTATGTCCCAGTGAAATCAGGAGGACTGGAACTGAGCAACACATAAAAGTGGTGAGCCTACGCGTGATATATCACTGTAAACATTATCTGAGAATGCCTGCCTTTTTGATGATCTCTGGTGGAGCTCCTTCCAGACTGTCATAGAGCTACAGGGGGGACTACAGCTGTCGAGGAAGCATCAGCAACTGGGAATAGGAAATACATGCAGTGGACGAAATCCTGTCTTACAGCAGTGCGTCTGTTTAAAAAACTGGATCAAATGGAATTACAGGAGCTGACGAGGTGAAAAATCATCTCTCAAAAACTCCAACAGCAAATAACCTAATTCTAAATCTACTGAATCTTATATTCACTGGTAGATCTAGCCACTGGTAGATAGTCTTCAGCAGAAAGACACATGCTATTGCACTAACCATCAGTATCAGTCAGAATGCGACCAGTATCAAGTATGAGAGACTTGGTGTCAAAGGAAGTCAACCATACTAAAGCTGCACAAGCAGCTGAGGGAAGTGAACCCTGCAAAGATTCCACTTCAACCACTGCTGCTAAGAGCGAACTGAATGGAGACTGAAAATGTAGGCACACATAATAGGGGCATTAATATACCACAAGAATCAAGCTTTTAGATACACATACTAGAGTGCAATCTGTAGACAACAGTTTAGAGAGAATATTTACTTTATTTAAGGCTAAATGTAGCTATTGCAGTTTAAAAGAGCTTAGAAAAATCTTCTTTCCTGTGCATCTGAAGCAAGGAGTTGTAAGAGTTAATTTATAGAGAAGGGCAAATTTGCAAGGGATACCTCAATCTACCAAAGAACTGAAGAGCCTAAAAAAACACAGCCTCAGATTTTTGAACTGTGACAAAGAATTCAGAGATCTGGCTCACTATATTTAATGGGTTAGGATGCTACTCCATGTTGGTAAGAAATTAATTAATTAATTAATTAATTACACATTAGTAAAAGAAATCTACGAGAACTTGCATTTGTTCAGATCATCGAAGCTTTTTGCTTATGAAGTTGGTAATCTGAATTTATAATTTTAAAATTATGCAGTGGCTGGTATCCTTTAATGAGTGTTTAATTTCTGTAAAATTATGTTTTGGTTTATACAGCATAGATTGCTATTCATATCACAATCCCTTCCATAGTAATAATTAGGCTTTTCTTACACCAGGTATCAAAAGACGTTAAATAAGATGTTGAATCTAGGTCATTTAGAAGTGATTAAATGCATGGTGCTGGTAGAGATGGAGATTTTATGATTTATAAATGATAAATAAAAACACTAATACCAATTATAACTTAACAAGAAAGGGAGACAGATTTATAGACTAGTATGTGTGAAAGTCACTGGTAGACGACTAGAAGGGCTAATCTGAATTTTATAAGAAAATACATTATTTTTTCATAAAAATTCCTGAAGCTTGCATGAATATTAATGCTACTCTTCATTATTTTTGCACTGTATTTAGTAGAGTCTATCCACAGTTAGTTTTTATACATACCCCTTTTAAAGGTACTTTGAATGCAATAAATCTAGTTCCTGGTATAGGCTGTCCAACTGGTGTCAAGCTCCGCCATCTGCAATGAAATAAATATTTATTTTCAAACTACTTAATTCAAGAGAAGACACCCCATAGCTCCATGTAAAACTTCTAAAATAAAGATTCTTCCTCTTAGGAATAAAAACTTGCTAAAAAACAAAGCACACATATATTGTACTTTTAAAATGATAATAATTATTATTTCAAACTATGTGAAATAGCTTACAAACATCAGGCAAGAACCTGCTCTTGTATTTCACACAGCTTGAATATAGTTATTTCAAGTGTCTCCAAGCACAAAAATTTAAGTTTCTTTTTCTTTTCTATAATGGACCATGCAGCTAATGGCATAACATATTACGGCTCAGATTTCAAAACAGCAGGATCCAGTAATTCCTAAATCCCTTGGGCACCTAAGGTAAGCAGTCATAACTGATTTGCAGCAGAGTTTGAAAAACTGACCACTTAAATACGCGAGCATTCGTAAAATATTTTGAAAAACCCATCCCCGTTAGTAGCCTGCCTGCTTGTTTCACTAAGAAACAACATAAGGTCTTTTTAAAACTGCTATAAAAACATTTGTTATGATATATATTTGAATAAAAGTAATAGATTCGCATTCTTCTAGGATAAAAGAAACAGAGAGCGAGTTCTCTGAAAGATGCTGGAAGAATATCAAGAGTATTACTACAGGAAAATAAAAAGCTCTCATCAGCCACATATGCCATAACTTAGCACATGCCATAACTTATGTAAAGACATTTTTATTGTCTGCAGGTCTAAAAGAAGGAACCATAATAAAATGAATCTTTATTCTCCATAGAATACTACCATAAAGAAAATATTTCCAGGAGACAACCTGTATGATTACTGTTACTGTACGCTAGAATTATATCCCCAGATCTACAGTTCTTCCATGAATTGGTTTTCAAGGTCTCTTCAAGACATTTGAAAACAAATTTTTCCTTCCTTGTCAACTTCCAAAAAAATTCCTCCACTCAAAACAGTAGGGCAGCATTTACAAAAATGTAGCACCAATATAAAGCAAACAGAAAGATAAGGTTCAACGGGTAAAAAATATTCTTATAGTTGACAGAAAAATTTCAATTTGGCTGAGTTAAAAATCCTTAAAAAGCTTATCCATAGTCTCACGTTCGTCATTTAATTGACAATAAAATGCTAAGTTCACTTTCATTAAAAAATACACAGCTTCTAGATTTTGCAAGCGTGTTTATTTTGCAATACGCCTCTTATTCAAAGCTGTATTATTGACTCATAGCACTTCAGAAAAGACAGAGAATATTCCATTGAACTAAAATTAAGCAAAAATCACTGCAGTGATAAAAAGATTTCTACTACAACACTCAAAATCCTGGTAACTCCAAAAAGCACCATTTAAACGTCATATAAATAAAATAAATAAGAACACAGTATTCCCTCTTCAAGCTACTTCAACTACTTTTTGGTGTTATCTGCACCAGCAAAGGGTATAAAATGTTTTACAAAAGCATGATTTGACAACCAGCCAGAGGCTACAGTTCACATGCACAGGTTTAGAAACATTTTGAAGGAAAGAAGTCAAAAATCCCAACCACAAAAGACCAACGTAGGAACTTCCCTATATAGGAAGTCAATTTAGAAGATGCCCTAAGTTAGAACTTCAGGGGTCTTCATCATTTTCTTGGAAAATTATATGACTGCAAATTGAACACGATTATCATAAATACCAAGCAATTAGGAGCAAATAAGAAAAGCTGTTTAAAATCTTACATGGAAAATTAGCCACGTAACAGACAGACTGCAAAAATTCTGAACTGTCTTTCAGATTAAGGGACTTCACAAATCCTCCAAGAAAATTTGCATCTTGCAACAAGAAAACAGCAAAAACCTTAAGTGCATCTGCCAGGTCTATGTAGAGTGGACAATGAGCAGAAGGCACCTTATCAGAATATATAAAGGGCAGGCCTTTAAAATCCTCTCTTTAAAATGAAATATCTGCATACTGATGCAGAACTAAAAAATGAGAAAACGAGCAAGTTCAAATTAAGCAAAGACTGGCTAAGGAAATAAATTCAAATTTTTTCTGAGGTCGGAAGGAATACGGTTGGGGAAGTAAAGGTGACAGAGACGGAATCAAGTAAATTCTTACAGAAGTCTAGATAAAGGCAGAAAGGAGCAAAGCAAGATGAGCTGCAGGAGGCCAGAGGAAAAAGCAGTTATGGGTGCAAAGACATAAGGATTTTAACAAGTATTAAGAAGGAATTGTGACATAGGATTTGTGTTCTGTTTGAACTTAAGTGGAAGGAAGAAAGCCAAAAGTCCAAGATGCTGTCACAAGCATGAAGACTTGACACCACCATCATGAATGATTAAAAAAAGATGACAGAGGGGGCTTCAAAGACTAGCTGGACATGAAATAGCTGAAAAGAGAGGAGTCTCCTGAAAGAGGCAGTGATACTTTACTGAGAAAAACACAGACATAAGATTTATTTCTATGTCTAGCAATAAGTCTAGACATTTGCACCACAGAGGTAGTAACTCTTGCCCCAGAGCTGGTAGTATTCACACTACAAAGATGTTGTGAGAGCAGTCTAAGATGGAATCACATAGATTCAGAGAATCACCGCAGCTTCTCGATTCAAATACCGGTCAGAAAAAGACCAGAAGAGAGAGATCTGCAGAAACTGAAATTTGAGAACTACTGTATAAAATGCAACACAGCAACGGTTGTCGAACTGCAGACAGTCTAAGGCAGAATACATTAAAGCAAACTGTAGTCCTAAAATCTGTGACGCTGTTTGGTTTTGACAAAGAACAGGCAAACAGGCCAAATTTCCTTCAGAATCTCAAGGAGCGTGTAAAAAAATTTCAAGTCAAACTCTTCTTTTAGTTTGCATCAAAATAGCTATGACAGGATTTTATGCGGTACCAAGGTGGTAATTAGAATTCTTCTGGACTCTAGACTATTCAAAGCCATAAAATCAAAATTACTATTCTAACAGAAAAGTACTTAATCGAGAACATCACTTAAATGAAAAGTGACATATTGCGCACACACATGATATATTTTCAAATACAGCTTTATTTCTCTAAGTTTTCAAATGGGTAAACAATTCATGGGACCATATTCACACCAAGATCTGAAAGTCAACAAGTAATACGAATTAACCAACTATTTCATTCTTTGACGTTTCCACTTCCCGCTTCCCTACCATGTTTTGTCTTCAGCACTCCCCAACTACCATCAAAACACAGGCAGAATTTTACCTGCTGTTCTAAACAAAAGGATCACTTCTGGAATGAAAAAAAGTATTAAAATCAAACTAAAACACCTCCCTCTACCCCCCATGAAATTTCTGTGATTCTTGAATGGTTTCCAGTTAAAAAAAATAAAAAAAGACAATACGCTTGCTATTACAGATTCTACTCAGTAAGTGGTTTTAAGTCTGGTTTATAGGAAAATATTACTCTATTTACCCATTTTAATTGAAATGAAAAGAAATCATGTTTTATTCTTTGCCTTTTCTTTCATCTAAAAATTTCAGAGAAATGCAGTAACAGATAGATCTGCTTTCTTAAAAAAAAAAAAAAATAGTTTCATGCATCCTCGTAAAAGTTTACAAGATATAGGTCATCTATGCTAACCCAAGAATCTAACAGCAATATGCTTTTTAACAGCAGCGAGCAGTAAAACTGCCTCTGTTCAAGGACAAAGGATAAAAACCAAGTAACGATGAACTCAGAAAACACCTTTAAAAAACAATAAGCTTGAGGATCAATCAACTGAGGACCATGAACAAGGCCTTCATAGAAACCTCTAACTTCAGGCGGGGTAACAAAAGAAATTTCTTATAGAAAAGCCCATGATAAAGGCAAGCTTATGGCAAATTTAAATAACACTAGCAAATAAAATTTATTATTAATCCTGAGCTTCTGTAGTAAAGCTCAATGTCAAACATCAAGATAGCTATTCAAACAAAACACATTAGAATATATATATTTTGGATAAATCTTGCTCATTGTTAATAAAAAATAAATGTGGTAATGACATAATGAACTAGAAAACACACATCACAGATTGTAAATACTTCTACTATCTGTGATTATTCAATGCAATTTATGAAATTCAGTTAAGATAATTGTATTCAGTTGATATGAACTTAATTTGCAGTTGTTAAAGTAGATCTTACTATGAATCAGTTCTAAAATTTAGAAAATTAAACTGGAAATTAGTTACTGTATCCCCTTAACAGAAATGCTAACTTAAAATATGACAGAATTCAGGCCAAAACTGCATCTTCCTAACCTAGCTCTAGTAAAAGCTTTAGCTGAAGCAGACAAAGCACTCAACTGTATATAATTTATACTCATTTAAATAGACGCATACTTTATTTTCTTCTGTGATTTTTTTTGCCAAAAATAGTATATTTTTCAAGTAAAGATACTACCAACTCTTTCTACAGTAAACCGGGCAAGAAAGCTCATAAATCACCTATAGGTAAAATATGATGGAACCACCGAGTTGGAAATAACTTTAAAACTTCATGCCTTTGGCTTGTTAGGTCTCAGTGATAGACTTGGGTAAAAATACACAGCATAGCAAATGATCAACAGATACATTACAAGTTCTTTAGGGCAAAACTGTTAAAATTCATTGTTGGTCTTTCTGACACATAAACCCACTTCAGATACCCTAGGAAACCGATGTCTACATTAGCATATTAGATAGAAGCACTTAAGACTGAATGACCACACAGACACAAGCTAGCTTCACATCCAACCAAAACAAAAATTAGGTACATTGGCCAAAATAGAAGACATCAGCACTGCCTCTACCCTAAATGCTAAAACACTTCTCGGGGTGGGGCGGGGTGGCGGGTGGAGAATAAAAACTCTATACTGCAATACCTCTACAATGCAATTATGGTATTTTTAACAGGCAAAAAATTAACTTAAGCATACAAGTTCTCTCATCTTGCACTTCCTTGTGCGTAACAACCCAGTGCAGCAATCATGGGTTCCAGCGTTCCAGAGTAAGAGGAACTAGTACTAAAATAAAGGCATTAATTCAGAATGATTTCCACCTCATAGTTAAAAATCAATGTCAGGATAAAGGTATACATTCCTGAGAAGCTGCAATGGGTGGAAAAATAAGTTCAGAGAACAATATTTGCAACTATGCTCAACAATTTAGGGGCTTCTAAAACTGTGGAGTCCCTTATAAACATCTATGATTACGGCGTAGTATGGCATGGATTACCAGTTTAGAACTTACCTTGGGAACTGGATTCCAAATCACTCAAAAACGTTAATATAACTGTACAGAAACTTAGGACTGGAATGGACTCAGCTGCAGCAAGATCATTTGGAAAACACAACTTTCAATCTCTCCTCCTTTTTTTGGCTACTGGTACTTGCACGATATACATATAGCCTTATTTTCCAAGTGGCTTCTGCACCTCTATAGACCCTAGAACCAATACTACTCTGCTGAAGAAAAAAATACCCCTACACAAACCACGACACACATTCAAGACAGAACATATACTGAACAGGTCATAAGCAGAAGGGAAAGTATATAGCTGTTAGCCATCTGTTACTATACACATTTCTCACTCCATTTGTCTTCAACGCCTGTAAGAGGAATACGGGTTAAGTTACAGCCTGTAAAAAAGATAGTCATTGTAGATGTAAAGCATGGGAGAAAAGTTTCCTTATTGTAGCACTACAGAATATGTAACTGCATAGCTTTGTACTTGCTGTGTGCATTGTAACACACGATCTGGGCCTCAGAGTTGTATAGCAATGATGCCACCATTATCCAGGTATAAAAATTTCTCCCCTACCCATATTTTTGGAAGTGCAAGTATTCTACGGTATGAGGCACTTTTACTTTACAAATAAACTTTCACCTTACTGTAACCCTCCTCTCATTCACCCTTGAACCTGCATTTTGCAGGCCAAATAACAGTCAGTTATGCCATAGCATTTAGCACCACAATCTAAGTGGAAATGCTTGTGCTTTTAAGCCTGCACAGGAGCAATTCAGTTAAACACGCCTGTTTATGACGCAAACGTAGAAATAATTCAATTTTCTCCTTATAATAAAGACAACCTCACCCTTAGGATATTTTTTTAATAACCACTTAAACAAAACATCCAAGAATGTGTCATTTTGGCAGATGCCTTTCAGAACAGAATCTGACTTTATGAAATTATATCCACAGTAGAATTTTGGATGCCTGTTGCACAAACATGCATAATTCTGTAAAAACACCACAATATTTTGTGAAACGATCAGTTTGTTAGATAACTCAATCTCCCCCTACCGGCTGGTTTACCAGTAAAACATTGCAATATATACTGAGGGACAATGCTCTTTCAGAAACTGTAGAGAACTTTACTCCACGATGGAAACCGCTGTGGAAGGTGTCACTTGAATGCCTCTCTTATACCCATGCTCCCATTATGAATTACCTCTCCAGCACTACCTTCTAGGATTGAGACTCTGACGGACACCGTACAGCTCAGCTCTACTCCAGGACTTTACTGGGAAAAGGGAGATATGCTTTCTGCTATGACAGGATATGGGAAAGCCTTACTTCCGCTCCACCTACTGCTCTGGCTGCTGGAGCAAAGACTGCAAATAGCTCCACACCCAGAACGGGATGAGGACACTGAGATAGGGGCACAGAACCAAGACCGTGCCAGAAAGAACAAGGTGTGAGACCTGCACTGCAGATATGGGGGCAATACTGGCAATTAACATTACTTTAGGTACTGAGCACGCTCAGAGTTCTGATACTGGCAAGGTTGCTCAGTACTGCAACACAACCCTTATACAAAGTCAACTTTTAATTATGCTGCAGACACAGCACCGTAAAAGGAGACAGTAATTAGCTAACCAATTAAAAAAAAAATCAAATCCATATTTGGTATACTTAAAAATATTATTTCAAGCAGCAATTGGAAAAAAAGATTTTTTCTATAGTAGGAGGTAGATACTTAAGTACATTTGTAGTGTATCAGTTTATCACAAAGACTTCTCAAGTGTTTTTTTTCCACTTAGGAAACACCTAATTAACCAATATATTTTTATTTGTTGAACTCACATAATAATTAGCAATCTTTATATAATCTTTATGTAACGACCAAGTATAATAGCAAACAATTTGGCCATTCAGTTTGGAGCCTCAGAAAACAGAGGATGTTTATGCTCTTCAACACAATACTTTATTTGTTCACTTTGCATCAAAATAACATACATTGAAGTTGTAACAATGAATGTTTTCGAATTTGATATTGAAGACATAATGCCAATTCAGTAAAATACCATGCTTTTGTTTGAGAACTGCTAATCATATTAGTAAAAAAAAAGACTATCATGAAGGAAGGGGGAAAAAAAAAAGTCTGTGTACCTGACCACACTCTGTACAGCAGATATAGAATGAAATACAGTTTGGTTTGTGTAAAAAAAAGCTCAGTAAAGGCTTTTCTCTATTTTAAGAAACAACGCCTAGGACAAATATGGCCACACCAACGTAAGGCACGTGTATTCATAAACTATTCCTACATCAGAAGAGGAATAAGTAACATTGTCTCTATTCTAATGCTTGGCTTTTAGTTTTTAATTATAATCTTTTAATTAAAAACAGCAGAGTCTCTACGTAGGTGCAAAACCTAATTTTCCCCATTTATTGTTTAGTTGCACTATCCTAAGCTACTAATAACATAACTGAAACCTCACATTTATTGCACTGCTTTAACTAACAGACTTTTCAGATCTTTTAGCCATTAAATTCTGGTATGTAAACAGAACGCTTAAAGTTTTTTGTTGTTTATTTTTTTTTTAAACACAAGCAATTGCATACTAGAAAAAACACATGAATTCAAATTAAAATTGTTCAGAACTGCAGAAAGATTTCAGGCAATATCAGGAAGATATTCTTTAAACTGTCCACATGTAGACTGACTGACTTTCACTTATCTTCCAGAGTATTTCTCTTGCACTATCATTAAAAACAAAACAGTTATTGTTAGGTTTACTGCTATTACAATACTGCAATACGACTGAGACTAAACTTATACAGTATGACATGCTTTGGACTTGCCCCTATGCCACAGCATACCACCATCTCACTTCTGCCAACAACTATTTCTGGGGCGAGTAAACTGAATGTGCAGGGTCAACTAGGTTAAAATCAAACTACTTTCATTTTTCTTTCAGGGTTCACTGCTATTTTCCCCCGGTCTGCTAATCAGATATACGGTAAAGTACTACCAAGTACCGCACTGGCTCAAGGACGACTTCAATATACTGATTTCAACTACCTGAGAATGAGAGACGATTCCTCAAATTCCTCTAAGGCCAAAACCCTTATAGTGTGGAGGTCTAACCTGATTTGTTAATCATATCAAAAAGATTATCTGGAAAAGCTGAAAGCATTTCAGTATCATGGGCTTTGTCAGACGATTGTATTAGCTTTATAACCAATTACGCCATAGTAGTCGCTAATTGAAAGATACACAGGTATTAGTTGCTAATTAAAGAAGCCAACAGCACAGTTCAGTGCTTTCATACCTAAGGAAGAAACGCCAGGAGCCTAAAGGTTGTCAGAGCCGCTTCAGTTAAACGTAAGGGGACAAAGAAGGGAGAAATGAGTACCTGATGCATTCTCAATGTTTTAGTGATAATTTCCAAGTATGGAGAAAGCAAGCAAGACAGTTATTCTTTCAACCTTCCTGCTTTACTTTTGGCAAGCCTAAGCCAGTTTAGCTCAAACTTTTTTTTTGGTCCAACTTCTAAGTGAAGTTTCATATACACTGTAAAAAAGAAGAAACTCTTAGCTTTTTTTCTTAAATACCACTTTAATTTTAATCCCTGTGTTTGTCAGCTATGATATAAAATGTAAACTTTCTTGAAGTTATTTTTAGATGTTTGTTATCTTTGGTTTCTACTGAGTGCTTTTAGACCAACGTTATTTTACAAGGAATCATATTTTTGTATTTTATTGCTCCTTTGAAGAATGTTTTTAACAAAGTCATTTAACTTTTCACCTGATACAAGGATAACGTCCACCTTTCTTAAAAAGGTACTGCCCCATAACAATGCGCCTTTACATGTCAGTACACCCTCCTAACCAAGAACTTCGTAGTGATGTCAGCAGTACCATATGGGTTAAATTTTTAATCTTGGAGCTCTTCTTTTTCAGTAGAGCTGGAGAACAGAACCACATCTATTCTATATGAGACCATTATGTGGTCCTCATAGGCACACTCCTGCTCAAGCCGTTAGAAAGCCAGTAGAATACAGCATTTGAGTTACTGGGTTTTTTTTTTTAAACTGATAAAACATTTTTGTTGTCCTCTTGTTAAAAAAAAAAAAAGTTTCTGAACCTGAGTCCATGAAAATGTTCTTTGACTACATGCATGCAACCATGTGCTCCCATCTTGTCTGCTCCTCCCCCACTCTTGATACCAAACATCTGAGTAGTCTGAAGGGTGGACTATCCCATCTCCCCAGGCAAGTATGCACTTGGGGGTAAGAAGGTTAGGAAGAAGGGACTGCATTTGGCTGATGAAGGACAAGTGTTCACAGATACGCTGGAGTATTATACTCACCTGGGGGGTGAAGGGCAGGGTTGTTCCTGTCTTGGAGAAGATACCTACCTTACCTGGCTGTAGGTGGTGGAGAAGATGCTTGTGGCAAGAAAGCGCCTGGGGCAGTCTGCGCCCCTTCTCTGTGGGCAGGACTGTGCCCGCTCCTGCCTGTCGCTTAGTGTGGGGGATACTTACCCATCGGGGATAGTATTCTTCTTTACCATGCTGAAAGCAGGAGCAGGCAGAGCAGGAGGCAGCGGTGAAAGTGGGCACTGCAGCAAAGGAGAGAGAACCGCGCAGTTAAAGTGCTAATCTCTTTCTCCATCAAATGGGCCTTCTCACAGGGCTGACTCTCAAGGTAAAACAAACCGAGCAGTCAGCGGGGGCTTGAAGCCATCCTGAACAAGTTCTGCAGCTTGCAAGCTAGCCTATTTTCTCCACTGCTACAGTAGAACAAGAGGGAAAGACAACAACTCACCTCTCCTCTCCAGGAGACCAAAAGAAACAGAGAGGAGAGGCAGCAGGTTTCCTCCAGCTCTAGCAGCAGCGCTGCGGGGATGAGGCTTCTCCTGGCAGACCCTTCCGTCCTGTCCCTCTCCCGTGGCTCAGAGCAGTCTGTTCTGCCCTTGCGCTCCCACAGCAAGGGCTCTTGTCTCAACGTGAAGTAGCTCCAGGCAGCTGCAAGAGGCGAGGCCGGCACCTCAGCAAGGGAAGGCCGATCACGGTTTCCTCCAGCTCTAGCAGCAGCGCTGCGGGGATGAGGCTTCTCCTGGCAGACCCTTCCGTCCTGTCCCTCTCCCGTGGCTCAGAGCAGTCTGTTCTGCCCTTGCGCTCCCACAGCAAGGGCTCTTGTCTCAACGTGAAGTAGCTCCAGGCAGCTGCAAGAGGCGAGGCCGGCACCTCAGCAAGGGAAGGCCGATCACCTGCCCCACTCTAACCTAGACGGGTCC